GAGCATCTACCATGTCCTTCTTTGTCAAGGCTATCTTATGAGCAGTTGCTGTGGCAGGGTCTGGTGCTGACATAGCTATGGATGGGGACACAATTAAAGACTGGGATCCAGCTATGGTCTTGTTTGGGTCACAGATACATTGGACTGATTGAGTGAGTCTCTTCCTCCCTCCTTTATGGAATCATGAAAGACCGAGTCCGTAGATCTCTGGCAGCTGAACCATTCCAGCTGAAAAGAAGGACTGCAGTTACGCATGGGGCCATCCTAAGAAGACCAAGGGCCCGAGAGACTGAAGAATGAGAATGGGTAGCCCCAGACTTCAGTCAGTGTTCCCTCCAGTGTCTCCTCACCCCACTGGCCTTCAGCGGGCCTGCCACTCTTCCTCTGGTTTCCTGCTAGTTCTCTGGTCTCATTTTGCAAATTTTTCTGGCAGGTTCTTTTTTATTAACCAGTTTCCAAACCTTGGTCTCAGTTCTTGGCTTTACTTCATTTCTAGTCACTCTTTCCCTAGTGATTTCACTCAGACAGTGGGTTTCAGTGTCTTCCCTATATTGCTGACCTCCCAAATTATAGCTCAGTGTCAAAGCTTTCTCTTGAACTCAGTCATTACCAGTCACCTACTTGACATTTCCTTTTGCACATTTTGTAGGCATTTAATCCGACAGGTCTGAGTTGCCTTTCTTCATATTCTTGTCTGATTTGGCTCTATTTTCCTTATGTCAGTAAAATGGCAGTCCTGTTCTTACACTGATTTAGAATATCGTCGACTTTTCTCTCTCATGTCCCATATTTTATCTGCCAGCAAAAGATGTCATCTTGAATTCTGACTTAATGCCTCCATTTTTGCCAAGATAAGATAGGTCTCCTAGGGAGTCTCCTCTCAGCTAGCCCCAGCCCTGGCGGCCTCCAATTTACTCTACACGTAGTGGCCACAGGGACCCTGATAAATGCATGTCAGAGTGCACCACTTCTCTTCTCGAAACCTCCAGTGACTTCCTGGCTTATTTCCAACTAAAATCCAGGTCTTCATGTCAACAAATCACACAATCTCCTCCCACTTCCCCTTATCTTCTTCACCACTTCCTGCCTCAATTCTGCCCAAGACTCAACTACAGGAGCCTCTTCTGCTCTCATGCGCACTAGCCTTGCTGCTTCCCTTCACACCACCCTTCCCTTTCCCAGGAGCGGTCTCTTCCTAAATTCCTGTGCCCTTCCTCTTTGTCTTCAAATCTTTATTTAGATACTGCCATTCTCAGTAGTGTACCATGACCACCTCACCTAACACAGCAAATTCTCCATACTTATCTCTCTGACACAAGATCTAATCTGTTCCCCACCCATTAGAATAGAACCTTCCCAAGGCAGGGGGTGTTAACTGCTTTGTTCACTGTTACAATCACCAGTGCTAACAACAGTTGCTGCAAGAATAGACCTTTACTTTACAGCTGGATGGATGGCAAGAGCAACTGGAGCCTGTGTTTATACACAGTTAGCTGTTCATATATAGTTTACATAGTTTTCTAGAATCTTTTAATGGAAAATCTCCAGACTAAATGCCTTTTCTTCCTATCTTCCAACCTCTAATTCTGTCTCTCAGTGGCTTTGCATCTTAGGGAAGTTGACCGACAGGTTCACTTGTGTTTGTTCAGCTACTGCACATTGATATGTCACTGAGTTGTCCCCACGATGCAGTTAGCATTGCCTCCAAGTGACTGGCACTAGTAGCTCCTGGTCTGTGCTGAAAGGGATGCCGGCTGGGCAGAAGCAGAGTCACCAGAACTGTGATGAAGTAGCCACACCTCTTCTCTCTACTTTGTGAGCTGGGGTGACCACGGCTCAGTTGCTAAAATTCTTGCTGCACAAGCATAAGGATCTGAGTTCCATTCCCAGAATCCATGCAAACACCAGGCAGAGCAGCAAACACAATGCTGGAAGTGGAGAGAGGCAGATCCCTACAGTTTTCTGGCTGACCAACCTTACCAACCAGCCCCAGGTCCCAGTGAAAGAACCTGTCTAAGAAAACAAGGTGGATTGGTCCTTAGGAACGACACCTGAGATTGATCCCTGACTTCCTGTCCTTCACATGTATGTGAAGGTGTGTGTATGCATCCACACATAGGAATACACACACTTTACACACATGTGCATGCATAGACATATACACAGTATTCTCTCTCTCTCTCTGTCTGTCTGTCTGTCTGTCTGTCTCTCTCTCTCACACACACACACACACACACAATTTTATTTCTGAGCTGAAAAGAATTGGAAAAAATCCCATAGTGTAATCTTTTAGACATTTCAAAAACCAGAGCTACACTAATTAAAATACAAGCATTTCTCCACTTGTATTTATTTCAAAGAACAAATCATGAAGCCCTAAATAGAAGAATACAGTTTCCAAGCCACAGAATTGCCCTTTCTGCAAGTAAACTATCCCTAAACAATAAGCTGTCTATAAATATAGAATCTAGCTCATCTCTTCATCCATCCACGAATGAACTAATGGTCTAATCTTTGCCAGGTCTTTCTTGAATCCAATTACTAAATAATATCCATTCCACATTTAATGGGAATCCTATGAACTCACTCCAGCTTTGTTCTGGAGGCTCACATTCCCTTTTTATCATGTATAACTACTGTACTTTCCATTTCTTGCTCCCTTGGATCTTTGTTCCCCTGATCCTGGCCCCCGAGGAACAGTACCTCTATCTTTCCATTTATGTATGATCTAGAATCCCACTCCAGTTTTCCTAGGACAAGGCTGACCAAGGACAAGAACCATACTCCAAATGTTCCTCCAGCCATAAGGAAGCAGTGTGAGGGAGAAGTCTAACCCTATAAATGTCTGGGTTTCAGGAAACCTTAGCAGTGACCAGCTACTCAACAAGCTTGTTAGTGCAATCTGCTTCAACAGCAAGGTATGCTCCATGCCGGGAACTCTCCTTGGAACACATCCCTATAAAGAGCAAGATGGAGAAGCAGCGTGTGTCTTTTGGAAGCTCTTAACAGGAGACAACATAACCACGTGTCTCTGTGAATGGCAACTGGCTGTGAAGCAAGTTGTGAGTATTGCCAATTTCTACATGAAACATCCTAACAAAATATTTATCCTGATTAATCCTGAGCAAGGGCAGAAAGAGAGCCAAGACATCGACCCTCTGTAAGCTCCTTTGTGACTCACAGACCAACTTTGTACTAGTTCACTCAATGCCACAAACTAATCAACTGCCCTGTGGTTCCATCACCAATGTAACAGAGGCTGACATGAATTTTTCCAGAAAAACCCTCAGTGGCATCATTGCTCATTGTAATAATCTATCAAAGGCCCCATCTTCCAGCTTGCAAAACTACTTAGCGGAGCATGACGGCTTCCTTGGGTTATTAAGTTACGTCGTTACCAGTCCCTTGCTGTCTCTGTGTTTTAATTTTGTCTTTGTACCTTGAGCAGGGTTATTGGGAAGGGAGTAGTTGATAGGTTTATTACAGCAGTCTTTGGAGCAAGAGAGCTTTCTTCTTCCTCCACCCATTCTCATGTAGAGTCTCTTCCTGGGGCCCTCTCTGCTTAGAGGCGGATTCTGTCTTGTTACCCTTACCTGCATGGCTCTGTGCTCCAGATGCCCGATGCTTAAGAAAATTTGTCCTTAAATCATGTTGCTTGAAAGGACAGAAATGTGACTATTCAAACATATAAAATGCAAGAGAAATGCTGAGCACAGAAGAAGATGCTGAGTATTAGCTCCACAAAGGTCAGGGTCACAGGAGACATGCACTGTTGGAATAATCTTTTTGTACCCTGTGTAAAGGTGTGTCTCTGTTTTACCTCACCTGCCTAAGGCACCTTATGACTGGTTTAATAGAGAGTTGAATGGCCAATAGCTAGGCAGGAAGAGGATAGGCGGGACTTCCAGGCAAGATAGGAATTCTGGGAAAGAATATGAGGCAGGAGATTCACCAGCCAGAAGCCAAGGAAGTCAGACATATGGTACTGAGGAGAGGTAATGAGCCACATGGCAGAATGTAGATTAATATAAAGTTTTATAATATATTAAATATTTTATAATTAATACATTAATATAAAAGTAGGTTAAATTAAGTTTTAAGAGCTAGTTGGGAACAAGCCTAAGCTAAGGCCAAGCTTAATTAATAAAATGTCTCCATGTCATTATTTGGGAGCTGGTGATCTAAAGAAAGATCCATTATAATATACAGTAGTTAGAGGTAACCTAAAATGTTCTAAGACTTACCGTGCATCACAATCTTTGGTTAACTAGCCTTAGGGTTCCTTAGTGGGTTTGGGCAGGAGCCCAAGGGTTTGCATTTCTACTAAGTTCCAGATGCCCCACTTTGAAAACTACTAGGCTAATCAGATTTAAGTTTGAATTTTCATGATTTGTTATCTTAAACATTTACAGTCACCTGCTGTTCCCATTTTTATCCCTCTATAGGTTTTCCAGCAATCTGCCACTAGAAGACTCAGTGAAAGAGATTTGGCTTTGTATCTATAATCTAAAGGGCTTCTGTGGAATTCCTCTGTGTTTCCTCCAACCTTCCCAGAAGCATTTCCTTGGATCTTTGACTATAACTTACCCATTCAAAGAGAGTATCCACTCTGTTACTCAAGAGAAATCTGAGGGAAACCCAGAAGGCCTCTGCCAGTGCAGAGAGAATTCTTACCAGATACACCTTTCCAAGCAGCTGCCTAGTAGAAACTGTTCCTGAGGAACAGGAACAGGATGCCTGCCCCCCACCCTAAGGGACAGAGCCCACAGGACAGGCATGTTTCACTCACCTTAGCAAAACTCAACTTTTTTTTTCAGATCAAAGCTTCTAAATGGAATATGAGGTTTTCTACATTAATGGCAGTGATTTCCCTTCTGACTAATTCCTGTGAGTAGCAAAAGACTATGGGCTAGAAAGAAAAGTTGGTGTGAAATACCATCTACTGCCTGACTGCTCTTCCAATCTCCCAGACCCCAGTCAAAGGAAAGATCGCTGCTCACTGTTTCGGGGTTTGTCTTCGTCCATGCCCTCATCTTCATTCTCAGGGTCAATGTCTTCTGCTTGGGTGATCCAATCCAGGTAGCCTTTGAGATCTTCTTCTAGCTGCTGCTTCTCTCGAAGCTTCTGGAAATCCCCCCGAGCTTTGGCTTTCTCCCTCTCTTTGGAAAACTCTCTGGTATGAGAGGGAGGGGAGCGGGTGGGTAGGGCAGCATAGAACGGCCATCCGGGAAGAGAGACAGAGAGAAGGGGAGACAAGGCAGGTATTAATTGCTTTGTGGGGAGAACCCATCCAAATCACCCCCTTTCTACAGACAGCTATCTCCACTACCCAGTTCTGTCTTCACTCCCAAAAGAGGTGGGGGGGCACTGAGAGTGTGCTCTTGACACAAACCAGGAAAATCTAAGGGGATGAGGGCTGTCCATTCACTTTCTAGATCACAATAGACTTTGTCTGCAGATAACAGCTGTTCTCCAAAGATCGGGAGATCCCTGCCAAACAATCACTGTAATGCCCCTCTACAACAAGGAGACATATTACCCACTATTAGGTCACACCTATTTTTTTAAATGACAAAGCATCTTCAAATGACACAGATTATTAGGACCCAGTGATGAAGAACCCACTTACTTGTTGTACTGGGTCTCAGAGTCAATAATGCCTTCTTTTCCCAACTCTGGTTTCAGTGATGTCTCCTTGATAGTATGATGACAGCTAAGTTTGGAATATTTACACCATGAAAACTAACTAATGCAATTGACTGCTCAGGGCATTTCCTCACAGAAGGTAGTACCCCATTGTCTAGGGGCCCAGGAGGTTTGATTTTTTTCAATCTCTGTTCTCATGACTACAGTCCACTCTACTGTTCTTAGCAAGCCTGGAGGGAGTTCAACATACATGGATACCCAAAGGATTCCAAACACAAGAAAATGCCCTAGGGCCTGCCATTTGGGTTAAAGCAATGTACCCAGGATAGAAAAAATACATAAAATGAAGATGGTATCAAAGTTAATGCTTCAGTTTAAAGCAATGATCAGCAGATATTGTAGTTTGCCTGGGACTTGCTGGGAGAAGGAACCATAGAGAACATTCTCTTTTTAGTTGTCTCGGATGAAGTCCTTTTCTCTAACTCTGAATTGACTTTAAGCATGGGTAAGGCTTGGAGCAGAGGGAAGGACAGACAAGCTAGTTCCTAAGTGCCACCGCAGGTGCGAACCCTTTCTTTGGGTAGCAGGAGAATTTGCTTCGTTTGGGTTTTTGATCTGTTGAAAATGGGGTCTTTGGTGCTAGAATGGGATAGTGGTGCGCATGTGAATTCTCTGGTGTCTTGACTAATCCCTGGGCCATTGTTCCTGCCTCTCTTCTCAGTAAGTTCCCGATTCAGGACAACCAGTTATGGAACCATCAACAGAGCTTCGTGCAAAGCTCGGGGCTGCAGGGGAAAGGCACTGTGGAGATAATCACATCACCAACAAACCTTGGGGGACAAAAGGCTCAGTGTAGCCTGGTGTCATATACTGGAGGCTCTATCACCACAAACCGCCCACCTAGTGTTTGCCTTTTGTCTGTGGCATTCGGCAGAGCTCAGGCTTTAGCCCTCTAACCACTGTGGTGAAATGGGGTTGAGGCCCGGGAGGAGCCTAGGGAATGCTTTGATTGGGAGAATGGGGGCTCTCAAGCTAACGAGTCTTCTTCAGCTGTCTCCTTCACAAGGCTCTGGTTTTGACTAAATTTTCTTTTAAAATCTGATTGAATCTAATTATAATTGGATTGAACTTGCTATTTCTTGGGCTTCTTGCCAACCAGTGGGTACTTTTATTTCCTTTCCAGAAAATTGTATTCCAGGGAAGAGGCGCTGGATTGACAGATTACAGCAAAGGTAGGATCTGGCTTGGCTTTGCTCATCCTGCTTCTGTTGTTGGGGTGGCCATGGGAAGAGGCCAACTCCTCCTTGGCTTTTCCCTCTTACATGTGGTGAAGCTTCCCCTCCTTAATCTCATACTCTACAGACAATAGATTCAGGGTACATACCCTCCCTATGTAAATAAACTAAAAAAACCTGGCACCTTGAGGATCTTCCCCTGCAATCTTCTTGCTACACCCAAGTGCTCTTTTTTCTTTTTGCCTCTTTGCCCTGGAATGGGTGAGTTTCAAGGGGATAAAGTTGCTAAGAGAATGCTCTAGTTCTGGATGATTTCAGAGAGTTCAAGCTCTGGTTATAAGATGTCCACCATCCCTCTCAGTGTTGGAAGAACAGGCCAGGATTCAGCTGGAGTTAGGAAGTGGTCCCAGTCCTGTTTTACAGCATCTGCCCTTGGAGTGGAAGCTCACTAGCCACACCTCCAGATCCATGGGAAGCCTAAATAAACAGCCACAGGGAGCAAAGGGGAACAGGGTGACTGCGTGTTTCTCTGAGACTTGCCCGGTTCTGCTCCTGTAGAGGAGGTAAGGGCATACTGTGCTAGAAGGAGTGAAGATGTGGCCTGATCAGCAAGGCAGCATGGGACTCTGATAGTACCATGGGCAGAGATGCAACCAGGGCGTGGCTACACGGAACTCCAGGCTGCATGTGGTAGTGATGCACTGAGTGACAGTCCCTGGTCTTCTTTTCTCCCCTGCTGGCCATGTGACAGTGATGCACTGGGTGGCAGCCTCTGGGTCTCTTTCCTCTCCTGGATGCCAGCCATGTGCCTGTTCTGGAGTCTGAGCTGATAAAGACATGAAAACCCAGCCTGACAGGCTGTGTCCAGCCTAGGGGCCAGAGCCAGCAAGACTATCAGTTACTACTGTGGGATTTGTCGAAAGGCAGGAGTGCATATGTCACAAGCAATGGCCAAGATAAAACATGGGAAGGGGGGTGGTCAGTTCTCAGGTAAAGCATGCAGCAGGGGGGTGCGGTTGGGACTAATCACATGGGACACTAGGCCCTTTCAGAATCAATACTGAGTAGATAAACAGTGACTCTGCTATTTCTGGGTTTTCTAAACTTTGTTTGCAACATGCATGCAATGACAAAAAAGTCACATGCTCCCTGCCAAGGTCAGACAAGGTAAGATGCTTTAAGGTACTCTCCCTAATTCAGTTGTCATAATGTAACCAAATACCTTTCTTTAGGGTCAGTGTATTTAGTGCTGTATCTTTTCTGTTGTCGTGTTTTTGTCCTATTTATTAGAGATTTTGCTGTTTAAAAGGCACACTTCTAATGAGAGAAGGCTGCGATGTGTCTTACAGAGAAAATGTGTGTTAGATAAGTTCATTCAGGCACGAGTTCCAGTGCTGATGGCTGTGAGTCTAGTGTTAACAAATGGGTGACAGTTACTAAGTTGTGGTTAGAAACTCACATAGGGTTATATTTTACTGGGTTGCCAACTGTGACCAGATACTCAGTAGCAGGAACCTAACTCTGTACTTTGCATCGGCGGTCCAGTATTCACCGGTACATTGTCCAATGTGAGCTGGCAGAGCATAACCACTGAACAATGGGAATCCATGCTGTGTGGCCACCTCTCGTGCTCCCGCCACAGTGTGTGCTGGCCTCCTTCTCACTCTTGATGTCCTGACTTAGCAGAGGCATCATAGTCCAGGTATTCTCTCAGGCTGTAACTCTCCCACCCAGCGGGGACTCTGCTTTTTCAGGCAACAGACAGGCCTGCCTCCTGATGTGGAAAAGGATGGGGCAGTTACCCAGGTGAGAGATCCTAGGTACAGACTCATCCAAAGGACCGGATTTCAGAGTGCAGGCTTCTACTCCCTTACCCACAGCTTCAATGCAATTTCAAAAGTCTCACTGTCACTGTTGTTTTGATTCTTGTATGTTGGAGACTGGGATTTTGGGAGGAGAAAGCCTTGCATAGGGTAGATATGAGGATCACTACATAACACAGATTTCTGAAAAGAGTCCAGGAGCTAGCTATATGTTCTTCACTCTATGTGGCCTCATCAGAAAGAAGGCTTTCTGGATATGTGAGGATTGCACATAAAGGACACAAAGTCCTCAGGTAACCAAAATCTTGGAATTTCTACCTTTGCCATAGAAACCGTATGGGATGCCATCCAACTCTGAGCAGAACACATAAGACATACCTTAGCTTTCCTTGCTGGCTAAAGGACACAGTTTATGAGGGTGAGTTACTTCATTGGGCTGTAAAAGGGTATTATTAATATAGGGTTCACACCCCAACCCTTTAGTCAAAGTTACCTCTGCTCTCACATCAAGCTCTTCAGAGTTTCCAGTCTGAACATCTGGTCCCACTGGGCCAGCCAGGTAGCTTGGACTTTTGTGTCCTCTGGCTGTGTCCAGAAGCTTGCTTCTGGCACGTCTCTCCTTCACCCTTCCACCTTTAGAGAGTCTGGTCTTTCCACCCCACTTCCTCTGCAACGGGTTAGTGCAGGAGCAGCATGAAAGTTACAGGAAGGAGTTGTGGACTGACAATGTTCCGGACCAGTCCTCCACCCTCTAGTTTTCCCATTAGAATGAATGTAGCTTCCTCATCTAAACCTGTGCCTTTTCTTCTGTGAAATAAAAAAATACAGGTAGCATCCAGTTCATGGAACTGTCCCGAATACTAAATAAACTAATATATGAGACATGCAGAGAACAGGCCTTGGCACAGTATGCGGAGACTGTTCATGCTGTCCTTGGGATAGTGCATTTCATGGGCTCTAAGACTTTCTGAATATTCTGGAAGGTTGGTTTAATTAAAGTCTAACTGATGAACGAGTGGGTGTTTTTCCCCATACTTGTGGTTAACTATTACACTGTTGTCCGGATTAATCAAGATGCCAACTCCAAACCATCACAAGTGTGGTCAACCAGCAGGAACCTGTTTCCAGGTTTGTCACTGCACAGGTTAGAGAAACTGGCCCTTGACAAGAAGCCAGAAGGGCTAGACAACTGCTTACAGACACCTGGCTGGCTGGGCAAAGGTCCATTAATCTTCCTGGAGCTGCCAGAAGCAGGCTGCAACTTTGAAAATGGTCAGGTACTAGAAAGCTCCAGAACAGACAAGTTGAACTCTGGAGTATAGATGCAAGGGTTAAAGAGCCTCTATATCCCTGTCCAGTGTCAACTGAATGCCCTGAAAACCACTAAGCATCAGAATTGTGGATTCTGCATATCCATCCTCAAGGGGTGATTTCAAAATGACCTTCCCTTCAGCATCAGCTCCTTTAAACTCTCTGATCGGACACCAGCAGGTGGGTCATTCCTCTGGGGGATAAGGATGACAATGGCTGTGAGCTTAAGAAGGGGCCTTTGGAGTCCAGTCCTCATTCTCCATATTGGATTCCTAGAGGGACTTACATGCTAAGATTTGGTTCCTAACATCTGAGGTAAGAAAACGGAATTTAGGTTGTTTTTATTAGTTTGTTTTGGCTTAGAGCTCTGTCTGGACTATGCTAGAATTAAGCTTATTCAATGCAGATCTAGCAGGCAGTCACAAGAAAACAGGAGCAAAACTAAGACTCCAGGCCCAGATCTGCTGATTGCCAGAAAAGTGGCATCTCTTGGCTCACGTACTCATCTCAAAAGAGAAGTCAAAGCAATCACTGCCATTTCAGCACTGCCACTGACCACACACTAGTCCTTGTTCATTCTACAATGACAACCACCTATGAGTTGATGTGATCTTCATTTTTTGACATGGAAAACGAAGGCTTAAAAGGATTAAGTTGTCAGATATTATGCAGCCAGTAAATACAGGGTTATGGTAGCCAAATTTCTGTCTTCAAAGGGGATAATGTGTTTGATTTTTTTTCCAATGATGTCTGTGAGATTCATGTATAAACAACGGGCCATTTTCTTGTGTTGGATAAAAATGAACCCCCTGCTCCCTCCAGGCAGCTAGCTAAGAGCTTATATATTGCTCCATCTCCCTTTCATTTCGCTCTGCTATGGGTCTCACCTTGGCAAAAGGAGAGATGCCATCCAGGGCCATGGGAGGGGTAAGGAAGGAGTAGGTTATTTCTTCACTCCATTCTGAACCCTGTGCCCTAGGCATGGTGGGAGGCAGACCTGGTCTGCGATGACAGGAAGTCCCTAGGTGCCTGAGGAGACTATGAAAGCAGCTGGCCTATCAAAGCAGAGCAGAAACAGATCCCCCGCCTGCCTCCCGCTGTAACAAAGTCAGTAGGTAGGTCCCCTTTTGGAGGGCCAGAGGGTCACCAGGAGCATTTAGGTGTCAGGTCTTGGCATGGCTGGCATCAGCTGGTAAAAAAATAGATGATCGAGGAAATACCCCAGGTCTCCATGATAAGAAGGTGGCCATCCTTGGGGTCACTTGGTGCCCTAGCCATGAGCCATTCTTCCACTTCTAATTGCATTTGAGCAAGGACTGAAAACAGGTAGGTTTATGTCTGTGGTCATCTAGCTAGATTTAAAGGAAAATAAATTATGCCTCATCCATAACCCCATAATAACTTGTGGCTTTAAACAGTTATGTGTCCTCTGCATTCAGGAAAGTAAACATCAGCGATGGGCTATGTGGTCTTGAAATGAGAAGTAGTATTTGTTTGCACACACACACACACACACACACACACACACACACACACACACACAGAGTCACAGAGTTTTGACTTTTTTTGCTTTTGACAATGCTAGGTCAAAATCCAAACTTCCTTCTCTGGCTTGTTCACTCAATAAAAGAAGATGAAAACTGGCTCATGAGATCAGGCCAGTATTTAGTTTCAAGGGCACTGTGAGTGTGGGTTGTGTGTGTGTGTATGTGTGTGTGTGTGTTTGTGTGTGAGCCTTATTAAAGATTTCTGCTGTGAGTTCTTCCCACTCAAAGGTCTTACTGTGCTGCTCTTCAGGTTGAGTGAGTAGGCCACAAAGGGAAGCAGCCTGACTACCTGAGCAGTTCCTGGTGCTGGGAAGGCTTGGTGTGTGTGTGTGTGTGTGTGTGTGTGTGTGTGTTGGGATAGGGGTAGGACTGGGTGTCTCTTCTCTAGGGTCCACCACCTGTACCAATGAGTTAACTCCTATGCATCTGACCCTCTTCACAGTCAGGCCAAAGACCTTCACTTCAAGGCTCCTGAGTGACCCTTTATCCCAGGTTCATCAGAGCCAGAAACAGAATAGTGCCAGGGATAGCAGAAAGAATAAATAAAAATGAATGGAAAAATCAAGACCATTTCCTTGGTCCTGCTTACCCGCTAAGAACACCGAGAACCAAGTTAAGTACAAAAAATGACCCTATGATGATTAGTGTAACAAAATAGATCCAGGGCCAGTCCCTTCCTACGGCATCATTGACCTGGAAGAATGGAATGATAGTTAGTCAGGCACACACAGCAACCGAGCACGGCCAAGCGCCAGCCACCGGCTCCCCAGCGCTGATCTGAGCAGCGTGGGACCCAGGATCCTCAATGTGCAACTCAGAGGCCAAACCGCCTGTGCAGCCAATGGTCAGAATCTGTGCTTGCATGGAGAATTGTTTTGTCCCGTTTTCCTGGGCCTGTTAGGGTCCTGTCTCTGAGGATTCTGCATTGAACGCAGTGGAACCTGGGACCTTGCTCGGCTGCATTGTTAAAGAGGACACAGAAATGGTCAGCTTACCCGCTCAAAACACCGAGAACCAGATTTAGAACGAAAAAGGATCCAAAGATGACCAGACTGACAAAATACACCCAGGGCAACTCATAGCCCATAGCGTCTTGCATCTGGAAAGACGAAGGAGAGTTAGGACAGAGCCAGCAAAGTAGAGGACAAGACAGCCAGGCAGGGAGTGAGGACAGATCCACAGGAATAAAGGGGCTGATCTTGGGTTTTGGTAAGTGGGTCAGAATCTGCCAGTATATGTGGCTCCGTCCCTATTCAAAGTCTTTCCTTACAACCTTGGCCTGAACTTTAAGGGCCTATGCAGGGTGGGGGAAATCTTGTCTGACTTCCTGCTGTTTTATTTTTTGGAAAAGAAATGGTTCCCCAGTGCTTTTTCTATTTGGTTGTCTAGGAAGGTGGGTCACCTCACAAAACATTTTTTTCCATCCTAGAATGGGCTTAGCTCATTTGGGTTTCTGTGGCCATTAAATCTTCCTTTAGCTGTACTCTGAGGAGGGCCAGCTTTACTGACAGGGTTGGAGACTGAAGCTTCCATGACATGAAACAGTGATCATACCTCCTGGACTCAGGTAATAGAGGGCTCAGCCTCAGTTCTTCACCAGCAAATGGGCCAGGAAAGACAGTGCTCTCCCTGGCTCATGTGTCAGAGAAGGGGCTTTGTCCCTGACCCTACAGCCTAGATGTAACTGATGGACTAATGGAGACAATCTTTGGCAAGTCACCAATGCCTGCAGGAGTTGGAGGCAATGGGAGCCAGAATCGGCTCCTTTGGGGAGTTTGCTGTGAGAATCTCCTCAGAACTCCCTGTCCACTGACTTGCACCTTTTCCCTACAGCTCCTAGACATGGTTGTCAGGTATCCCCTACGTCCGGTGGAGGGGTGTGTGTCAAAACATTCATACGACAGTGTTTCTATCAAAGAGGAAATATGTTCTGATTAGGCTTCTCAAATCCATTTCTTCTGATGTTCTCTAAGCATTAAACACTTTATTTCTGGTTTACTAAAAATGAACCCCAAGGTTTTCCTTTGTGAACCTGGCTTATAAAACTCTAGGTTCTAAGGCACCAATTTCCTGAGCGACTTCCGTGTGCAGTTCAAAGTGTGGCCTTGAGTACCAGAACTATTAGGGACTCATTTAGAAATGCTCACACTCCATCTCATCCTGGAGTTCTGGGGTAGTAATCCACTCTTACAAGCACGACAGGTTAACTGGATGTGGGATACACGACAGAGCTTGTGGACCCCTGACCGACAGCACTGTCTTCATGCTACCAATTACATATGGAAGGACATAATTGTGCATCTCCACTACGTTGGGCCCTGAGATGGGACAGTTTTGGACAATTAACAAAAGTAGATTCTTGGGTCTTGCCTCATAGCCTAAGAGTTCAGTATAGTTAGCACATCTGCATTATGATTGCATCCCAAGTGATCTTCCTGAGGAATATGAAAATTTGATAACTGCTGTCTCAATTTGATTTCTACCTTTGTGCCCCAATTGAGTTATAGGTGTGTTGTTCTCTGTGTGATAGGACCAAAGATGGAGAGGCACCCAGAGACCTGCCTGCTCAGAATGGCTTGCTGTTCTGCAGTTAGAGATACTGTGTAAAAAATCTGTCTGTGACTCAGCTGAGTCAGTGAAGAGTTCCCCATACATGTTCACATCACAGTGAAATTCAATTTAACAATTTATTGAGCATCTCCATTCCCACCTGCAATGCTCTATTTTTCCATAGCATTTATCACTTTGTGACTGTGTGGGCTCCTTATGAGTCACACTGGGCATGCATCGTCTTATAAGCTATAGTGTAGGTTTCATGAGAACAGGTGGTTTTGGCTTCTTTAGGTCACTGGTGAATGCCAAGAGCCAGGAGTAGTGCTTTGCTTTTGATGGGTACTCAGGGAATGTCTGAGTGGCATTCATGAACATAAGACCTGCTAGGCTTTGGACCATAAATAAGAAGTCCTCGATAGCCGGGGACATAAACATAAAAAGCAACGATAAAGACAGGAAGGAGACGCAACTGTAGGAGGAAGTAAGAAGCTGAGAGTAGGAAGCAGAGAAGACTGCTGGATGAGGCTGCAGAGACAAGGGTCAGATGAGACAGGACTGTGTGCACTTTACATAGCGGCACCACTGACAGCAGGGCTGGGGGCTGTGGTGCAGGAAGGAAGTGGGGGGGTCAAATGACCCTGTGGTACCAGCACATAATGCCACCCCACCTGGGGCCTTGACTACTGTTAGAACCATGTATACAGACAGCTCTAAAGCCTTCCTGGCCATGGAATAGTGGTGAGGGAAAGAGTGAAATATCCACTGGGTCTTTATATGGATGCTGTTCCCTGGTCCCTTCCTTGACCAGTAGGAATCTGCTGGGCTAAGAGTGAAAAGGACCCCCACTCCCTCTCTTCAGCTGAACTCCAGGAGCTCAACCCAGTGCTTGGCTGTGGGCCACCGCATCTGCTTCCATCAGTTACTGGATGTAGGTTCTATGATGACAGCTAGGGTAGTCACTATTCATGTGGATAAGACAGGTCAAGAGCATGATGGGGAAAACCACAGGGACCCAAGCTGGCCAGAGCTCATGGTATGGACTGACAGCTGGGGAACTTGCATGGGACCAAACTAGAGCCTCTGAATGCGGGTGACCGTTATGTGGCTTGATCTACTGGGGGGGTCTTGGCAGTGGCACCAGGACCTATCCCAGATACATGAACTGGTTTTTTGGAGCCCATTCCCTACAGTGGGATACCTTGCTCAGCTTTGATATAGAGGGGAAGGGCTTGGTCCTGCCACAACTTGGTATGCCAGACTTTATTGACTCACCAAGGAAGGCCTTATCCCCTCTGAGGAGTGGATGGGGGGAGCGCAGGGGGGTGGTGGGAGGCAGAAGATGGGGAGGGAAGGAGAACCCGGGTTGGTATGTAAAATGAAAAATAAAATTTAAATTAAAAAAAGGAGTGCAAAGGAAACCAGACTAGAGGAACTAGAAGTTCAGTATGCCTTTATGCTAAGAAGAGGAGAGCAAAAGCAGTCAACACAAGCAGGGAAGATGAAATAGTACTAGGGAGAGAAAGGCAAGGGAGCCATGTTCCCAGCCACGAGGCTTTGCCATGCCAGGGCCTGCACATGCCACTGTAACACGGCGCCTGTGCAGGAGCCTGCTGCCTACTCACAAAGCATTCATATGTATTCATCAAGTGCTTGCTGTGGGGTGTGCAGGATGCAGGTGCTGCATTGGACCTGAGGTTGTAGGGTGAGTGGGGAGAGCAGGAAAAGCTGGTGAGAACAGGCAGGCAAACAAACACAGCACTCTAGGCAACATTCCGCAGTGTGCTGCCCTCCGGAGCCCATACCCAGCTTCTGTGTTATCAACCTGCTCCAAGGAAGCTGGAGGAAGCCACCGGCCCTACCTCTGGATCCCCCCCCCCACTCCAACCAGCCCTCCAGGCTACACAAGCCTTTTTTTTGCCTTAGAGGTTCCCGTGGTTTCTTGGTTAGTCTGGGGTTCCCTTTCCTCTGGGCCACACAAGACAAGGTAGCTTAGCCTCATTAAGGATGCAGTGGGAAGCACCCGAGGCTGTCACACACTTTTGGGTGGGGAGTATACAATGGTGGCTGTCTCTTAAGAGGGTAGATGCTGGCTGGAGTGACATGGTCATTATTTCCAATCTGGGAACAGATCTACTCAGAAGAAAAAAAAATAAAGCCACATCGAAAACAGAATCAGTTCCCTGTCACCCATATCTGGCAAATCAAACAGGGCTGATCTTGGGTCTCTAACAGCAGGAGCTTTGCTGTTTTCCTAAAGAAAGTGAGAGACATCCTGACTTCTCCTGCCCAAAGTCAAGCTGTTTTCAGGAACCCCAGACCTGAGACTATGGATGGCTCTTCATTGGGTGAAACAAACACAGAGCTTTCTTATTCTACCCAGACCAAACAAAGGGAACACTAAAAGAAAAATATCGAAAACCTTGCTGAAACCAGCATCTAACTGGGTGAAAGGACCCCTGCCTTGAACCTTCAAACCCACCATTAACTCTTCCGTAGGGGAAAAAAGCAGGAAAGGCAATGCTTCCACCATCTCAGGGCCTCTCTGATCCAAGCTGATTTTCATATTCCGTGTACCTTCTTCTCAGCACAAGTACTGTGGGCCTAGAGACTAGATGGTTTCCACAAGTACCGAGAGGCCATTTTCCATCAACGAGCAGGTGCAAGTCATAAAAGCCACAGTGCTTTGCACTCAGTGTCTCTGATGTCAGTGAATGTCCTCAGAGCAATAGCTCAATGCATGGTTGCTATTTATGATCTATGTTGCCTGGGATGTACTGTCCATCACTTGGGTCACAGAGTAAGAAGCAAGTGTAATGCCACCCAGCCCTGTGCACCTACTCATTGTTTGTTGGAAACTCCCCTGGCAGCCGAAACAATAAGAGCCTCATTCAGCTAGGAAAAAAAAAACCCAGCCCATCTTTTTTTTTTTTCAAGACAGGGTTTCTCTGTATTGTTTTGGAGGCTGTCCTGGAACTCACTCTGTAGACCAGGCTGGCCTCAAACTCACAGAGATCCGCCTGCCTCTGCCTCCCGAGTGCTGGGATTAAAGGCATGCAACACCAACACCCGGCAAAACCAACCAATCTTAACACCAGGCAAAACAGCAAAACCAAACTGTGTGCATTCAAACATCCTCTGAAAGCAACAGACTGGTGTCCTGACCTGGTGAGGAGCGTATGAGCAGAGAGAGTGATATCCTAGTCCCATGTTGGGAATAGTTGGCTTACATAGAAGGTCTGCTAGCAGGTGCATGGTCCTCGATAATGTCTGAAACTGTACCCTACAGCCACCAGACACAGTGAGCAAGGACACTCTGGGTACCATAGCTGTTTCTTTGCTAAGACATTAAAACACACTTTACTCCAATATCCAAAGCTACTAATGAGTGCTTTCCAAAGGTATGGGCATCTGCTGTCTGCTTCCTCAGAACCAAAATTTCCATGTCCCCAAGAGTGGTCTACCTCCTGCATGACCCTACTGCTCTATTGGGGAGTTATTCTCCTTTGTGAATACTGCATGCCTTATATTCTCAACTCCTGGTAGGCTGGTCTTATTCTTCTCTGTTCCCAACCCCATGCCATCCCTGCTTCTGGAAATATAAGAAATGCTCAATAAACACATGTTAAATTGAATTATTGAACTGCAAGAATTCATCTAACACTGGTAAATGAGTGAAGTGAAACTGAATGGATGAATGGATAGGTGGAATGCAAGGAGACAAAGGCTTTGAGAGATGCTAATTCTCTCATTACTGTGTTCATAACTCACCAGCATACTGTTTGGGTAGCAGATTCTCTGTGTTAGGTAGCTATTTGGTTTAAATTAAAAACAAAATTCCATATCTGAGGAAACATAAGAAAACCAATGTTTGACTCTAGATTCTTGTTTCTCTTGGTGCTTTTTCTTTCTTTCTTTTTTTTTTTTTTTGACACTTAGGCATTCTAGGAGCACATGGGAAGGCTGCAGCTTAAAGAGTCATTTCCTAAGGAAACTACATGGAAGCCTGAGTTTTGGTTTAGTTTCTATTCCCTAGAAACATCTATTCATCTGTTTGGGTACTTAAAGGGAACCCAGCTCTGGGGGTTCCATTCATTGCTACACAGGGGAGTCTTCACTGCTCCTCTCTGGGCCCTCTAGACTTGTACTTTACACTTGAAAGGAAATGTGTTCTTCTGAGTGGAAGACCCACATCCCCATGTTCCTTGGGAACCATCTCCAGACTGGCTCAAATCCAGCAGTATTCTAGGAGCCCTGTGGAGATTGGGCTGCTCCTATTTCTAGGGCTTCAAACTCAAACTTGCATCATAACGGCTTGGAGAACTTTCTCTTCAGACACTAAGTTCCTAACAGGGACTAGTGGAGGCAGCTCTGAGGATTTTTATATTTAGAAAGCACTGTGTTTGATGCTAAGACACGTTGAGATTTGAGTCTCTGGGTTAGTGACACAAACCTAGAGTTGAGGAGGAGGACTGCCTAATGGGAAGAAAGAAGGAGAGAGAAAGAGAATAGAAAATGGAATGGCTAGAGAAAGGTCAAAGTAATTAGAGGGATTATCTGACAGCAGGAGCATTGAGCTAGGAGATGCCGCTATCATGAATGGCCAACAGGGCACACAGTCTCAATGTGTTTGTGTGTGCTCACATGCACACACAACTCACATATGCACACGTGTGCACACCCATGATCTGATTGTTTTGGAAAGATGCTGGGAAGTGAGACACATCCCAGACCCTGGAACTTCCTCACCTCTGACAGTTTTTTTGTCCTCAGCCTGAGCTCCATCCCACCCCCGGGAGAGAAGGTACAACACAGCTGCTGGAAATTGGTAGTTACTGTTGTGTGCTCCTTCACAGTCCCCGCTCTGCCTGTCACTGGGACAGCATCTTAGGGTCACATCTGGTTGGTATGGTATCAAAGACTTGCAGCAGGGCGAGGGAGGGAGTGATAAAGAAAGATCAGAAGAGTACACCAGGCCATCAGCAAAGTGAATTGCACTTATTCTCCCCTGCCTGCACCTGCCCTCAATTTGATGCTACAGGCGGCTTTCCAACAGCGACTGAAAGCACGGGCTGAGACTCCCATGATGAGATGCCCAGCACCATACAGTCATCTGGTCTACAGCCCAGAGGTGGAGATTTGCAAAGGGACCTTTCTGTCCATGGCTCATCAGGACAAGAAAAGGTCCTGTGCAAAGTAGGAGGGACAGTTAGGGCCATTTAGGAAGTTGACTTGTGCTAGTAAGTAAAAGAATTTACCTAACTATGGAAAACCCAGCTTCCATCTCACTGTCTTTCAAGTTATACAAAACCAGGTTCTTATTGAGACCAAGGCTGAAAATGTTTCCCAATGTTTCATTTTAGTTTGAGGTAGACTTGGCTGACAACAAGTGTTGTCTCCTGACAGCACGTCAACAGGCTTCTGTGTTTCTCAGCTCAGAATCTCATCTATCCTATAGACCCAACTTCTTTGGCTGAACTGGTTACTCATTACCAAACCCTCGTGTCTAGAGCACCCTGGCTCACAAGGACACGCAGCAAACATTTGCTGGGAACAAGGTACAGGCAACCTGCAAGTCCCTTAGAGAGAGGGACACACTTCACAGCAACACTGGGCTCTGGCATGCTAACAGTGATGTCAAGGCTGGGGAAAAAGGGTTTTGTATTTACAGGAGATGGTGCACGTGAAAACAGAGGGAAGCTACATCTCCGTGCAGCTACAAAACTGCCTTGGATTCTGGGAGAAGTCAGCACTTCTCTTGGCCTTGCTTCTCTTTCTGGCAACAGAACATGAGATGCTCCCTTGCTTTCCTCTCACTCTTCTTGCTCTAGTTTGCAGACAGGAGCATACAGCCTCTTAGATGTTTTCACCAGGGCTACATGGATTTGACTATCTGAGAAACCGGGGAAGATGGTATTTCCAAGATTGGCAGCATGCTTTCTTCACCCAAATTCTGAAAAGCAATGCTGGATTCTGGCAAGTCATTTCTCATGCTGAAGTGGAAAACACCATAAAGATGGTATTTCCTATGTTTTTTTCTTTTTACAAATAACGGACTACATTCTTCCAGAATGAAGACAGCCCAAATATGGTATGCGTATTTACTGGCACTCAAAGATGGGTGAAGCAGGGTGGCTAGCTAGATCTTATGAGGGGCCTCTTTATAAAGTTAAAGGAAATATACTTAGGATAGTTGGCCCTCAGAACATGTATTTCTAAACATGCATTGCACATCAAGCAGTCTTTGGCTGACAGTAAGAGGGACTTTGATGGAGTAGTCTAATATGTTAAAACTAACATGAGAATCAAAATATAACAGCATGCCATAAGGCTACAACATTTAAATAACCGGTTTTCTTTATGGTGTTTGCTTTTAGATCAGAACTGACTTTTCTCTGAGAATTCTGCCCGTAGCTCCCTTTTAGGTAAGAGACAATAAAAAGTTAAAAGCAGAAGGAATTATAGAGCAGGAGGAGGAGCTGGATTGACCCATACAAGCGGTCTAGACCACAGTTGTCAAGCTAAAGATGGCCCTTGCTAAGGCTGGTAGTAGGGACATGTTATTCTTTGCTTCTTAGGAAAGTACTGGAACAAATCAAAGACATTCATCAACAACCCCCTCAGTTTGTGGGTGCATGTGTGACCCAATATAATTGGTAGGAAGATGAGATGTCAAGAGAGGCTGAGGCCCTCCACATGCCCACCCTCTAAGTGCCCTGTCTGCATACCCAATACAGCACGTCTGTCCAGCCCTCCATGGTGATGCACTGGAACACGGTCAGCATGGCGAAGGCGAAGTTGTCGAAGTTGGTGATGCCATGCTTGGGCCCATCCCACCCGGGCTTGCACACGGTGCCATTCTGACACTGCCGCCCATGGCCTGTCTCCAAAGCACACGGGGAAGGGTCCTCTTCTGCTGGAACATCTCCACCACCAAGGAAATATGAGACGGCAGGAGAATGGGAGGGACAATGACGGGCAGAGAATGAAGAAAGAAGTTAGAGAGAAAAATAACAGGATGGGGCTAATGAGTAACCAAAGCAGCAATCACACATTTTGTTTAGTGCCCTCACGTGGGAATTAAAAACACCTGAGCCCAGACATTTATTTCAGGGGCATAGTGACATAGGTCAGTGTTTTCAAGCAAGTGTTGGGAACTGTATTTTAACCACAACTGATTTCACAGACATCAAGGTATTGTCTGTTTTGTCATAGTATGGCATCATGTCCAAGGGGCCAATCAGAAAGTAATAACGATGAGTCCATTTCAAGTGTAAGTTGTTCTGGAAAACAGAAGACAAAGCAAGGAATTCAGAATTTGCAAAACCGAGGGTTTTATCTTGCAGCTATAGCAATAACAAACAGAAGACCCGAGTTTGAACAAACAATTGCTCTGACAATGGCTAAAATGCAACTCCAGAGACAGAATTTGCCTGTGGTTCTTCATTTAGAGATAATAAGATACCCAGAATCTTCTCTTCTTTTATAAGGATCCAAACCATCACAGCGTGATTATTTTGCCCATGGGACACAGACTCTTTATGGACGATGACTGGCTGGATGGCTGTTGATGTCTGTGGCTTCTAATTGAAACTGTTTACTCTCAAGAAAGAGAGGCAGAGAAATGTTAACCCTTAACTGTGAAAGAATTCTTAGGAGAATGGGGTGGGTGCTGTGGTCCAAAGGGTCTGCCAGTATCTTCCTGGGGACAGCAGTAGCTTCTATCATTTCCTTTTCTATGCCATCCCCAACTACTCCCATGTCCTTGTTTGTGGTTCATTTTTGCTTCTGTCCCCAACTCCTAACAAGCTGATTTGTTTTCTGTCTTTTAGCTTGCCTTTCCTTTATTAAAACACCCTAAGAGGCTCCAGGTGATGGGCATCTGGCACACTCCCAGGATTGGGCTATTCAGAATAAAGCTGCTTCCTAGCTGATTCGCTCCTGGTGCAATAGTCAGTGACCAAAGGCACGGGTCTATTATTACTGATCTCTGAGCTGTCTGAGGGTAGCAAGCATCCATGCCATTCCCGTATCCACGGTCTGGCTTCTGGAGGCTACATATTGAGGAAGTTGAACTGAACTACCCCTAGTGACAACATTTCATGACTTGTCAAATCTTTAGAGATGAGCATTTAAGGCTGTTGAAAGTAGAGAAATGCAAGTTATTTTCAAACCTAAATAATACGTTAAAAATAGCAAAGCAAAGCACCTAAAAAATGAGAGTTGAAAAATGGGAAAACACAGAAGCAAACAGATCATTAGTTCCATTTTCATTCTGGAACCAGCTTCCTAGAGGCAGAGGGGACGAAAGAGATAGCAGAAAGATAAAGCAAAACTTGCATTTTGCTTGTTTATTTATTGTATAAAGATGCCAGTAATCTATTTATAATGTGGCTCCTAGGCTGATGTCTGTCCTGGATCTTCAGTTCCTAAAACAGTAGAAACAGGGGAAGGTGCAGAGGTGCTGCCAAAGCCAGTTCTGAGAGTTCACAGGGAAGAAAACATGCTTGGTGAATTTACAAATAAATGTTAGAAGAAAATGACACCAAGGACCAGCGATCTCAAGGATAGAGAGAGGAAAGGAATGGGTCTTGGGAAGATCTCATCTACAGGCTCAAGGGCTGCCAGGCTATTTAAAATCTTCCCTGAACAATAAAAATCATAGAACAATTAAGAAGCAGCAATGATCCAGTAAAAATAGGTATCTATAAAAAGGAACACTTGAAAAACGTGAACATGCAGATCAGCAGGTCCTAGTGACATACATGCCAGGTGAGGAGTCAGGGTAACCATAGGATGTACTGCTTTTCTTCTGCAGAGCCCTGAGGTCCCAGTAGGAAGATATGAGAAATGAAGTCATGTGGGCTATACATTTAAGAACTGAATCGAAGAGAGTAGTCAGTGTGCAAAGATCAAATGAAGTCTTTGGTAAAATAAAGGAGGCTTTAGAAATGGAATCAACTTCAGCAAGGACAGAATCCTGGGGGAGCTTTCGGTCGTGTTCCAAAGAAAAACCACCAAGACAACAGCAATTACATTTTTTAGGTCTCAACTTAAAGGACAAAATAGAATGGTAGTGATTTCATTGCTTGGTTTAGCCAATAAATTCTGTGCCAGTCTCAGGGGTAATTATCGTGCTGGGGAGAGCTACTGAGTGTCCTGGCTCCTGATCCACTGGACAGATGGGACACCAGAAACAAAAGGTATCGGCATATGGCGACATATCTGCTGAGCAACCAGGAGGGTGCCTTGCAGTTGCTGGAGAGACTGGGAGAAGACAGCCTCTTCTGAGACCATCACCACTGGATACTGGACATAGAAAGAGAAGCCTAAAGGCAGAACAACAGCTCTGTGGCAGACTCCAAAGCTTCCTTGCAGGGATCTTACAGGAAACATGGATTAGAAAAGTTAGAAGAATATAAAATCTAGTCTGTGAAATAATATCAGAGTTTAAAAGGAAATACATATATTCCATTAACAAAGACTCACTAAGCCTTTTGTAAAATCTAAATATCACAGAAAATATGTTAATTAAATCTAAAGTCTAAAATCTAAAATGTGACAACAACAAAACCAAAACCAAACCAAACAAAAAACGCTAAGCAAACAAACCATTCCAAAGGTTCTATAAAATTCAGAAACACACTAATGCTGGCTCTGCAGGGTTTTGAACTTCCTAGTCTACAGATATGAAGGTAACAAGATCCTTATAGGGTCTGTCTCTTCCTTATTGGGGATGCTCACCTTGTGGGAACCGATTGGTGGCTTTGTTGCTGTTGTTGTTTTGAGAAGCTAGAAGACTGTGTGCTGAAGGCAGACGGCATAAAGAGGAAGGAACAACTGCTTTGTTCCCAAAGTAATTCTGCCACAGCCGGGAATCTTTGGCCTCTTTCCCAATAGTGGCTCTGGCTCATTTCTGAGGGACATTACTCTCATTGCCCTGATACCCTGGTTCATTTGGTTTCTACCCAGCAGACTAACTGGCCTCTAAAGTTGCTGTATAGTTTTCTGACGTAGTGTACTATCAAGGCCAGTATGACCTTAAGCCCAGTGTGGTCTTCTAAGGGGAGACAAAGAAGGTCTTTGGTTTTGGAGATGGCTTTCCACAGGGTTTCTGGCTATACCCTAGGAAAAGGGAGCCTTCTTGTTTTCTTTGACCACGATACCATTTTCTTGCCATTTGAGGCCATTGGGGCCTGGTAACATACCCTCACCAGCAGAAAACACACTTTTGCCTTTTTCCTTTAAGATGACAGAGATGGCTGAAGGTTTTAAGCAGATCTCCCTGGCTTTGTGGCATACCACATTAATGTTTGATGGCATGGTACAGTCACTGTCTTTGGTTCTCTGACAGAATTTCTCCTTATTTCATTGGTTAGTGTTCCACAACCAGTCACTGCCAAATTGAAGGATGTCATTGAGATTCTGTATCTTTGTGATAGTCTGGCAAGTTTGGGTCCAGTGGGTCACCGATCACGTAATGTAACTGCATACATTTACTCATGCTGTAGTTTGTCCTTAAGGAGTTCCAGCCAAGCTGCACCATTCACATAAGTTACTGGTTCAAGGTTAGCTACAGATCAATTAGTTAAGTTACTGTTTCAGGGTTAGCTACAGATCAACTAGGTAACTTACTGGTTCAGGGCTAGCTATACATCAGCTGAGAAAGAGGAAGGATCTGAATAAAAAAGTGATCATTATGTTGGCTGGTATTCTCTAAGTGAGATTAAATGTCTCTGAATTTTAGCTGAATGCAAGAACTTGCTCTTCCAATTAAAAATTATATATCAGCTAACATATTTTAAATTGTCACCAATTTCACAGTTACAACTCAAATAATGTGGAGATTCTCTTGAAAGTGAATAATTTATCTTACACAGAATCTTTTTGAAGGAAAAATAAGATGATTCTGTAAGTATAGATTTATATGTGTTGTTTGTCTTGCTGTGACCTTAAAGATGCCTAAGCCAGTCTACTTAGTCACAAAACCCTTTGCATACCAGGTAATAGCATCAGCTTCTGGGTGTGTTTTTCATCTCACTTTGTCATACAGGTTGGCACCATCATCCACAAGCCCCGATGTGCAGCTTGCGTTGGATGGGAGTGAGAGGGTATTATTAGAGCACATGCTCCAGACATGAGCTCTCCCTTTTCCTATATAATGCCCAAATGAAATAATGTAACAGCTAACAGCTTCAGAATCCAATGCTGTGTGTTGTATACACATACATGTTTATGTACTTTAGAATTCTTTATGTGTCTGTTTAAAGCCTTATCAATTTCTGTGTTTTTTAAGGAAGAAAAGGATTAATGCATTCTTTTTCTTTATTTTATGTATTTGAGTGTTTGGCTCCCATGTAAGCCTGTGTCCTATCTGTGTGCTTGGTACCCTCAGAAGCAGAAAAGAGTGTATGATCCCAGGAACTGGAGTTATAGAAGGTTGTGAATCACCATGTGGGTGCTAGGAATTGAACCCGGGTCTTCGGAAAGACTCAGTGCTCTTCACTGCTGAGCCACCTCCATAGCCTCTGTTTAATTTTGTTAAAATCAAGTTAAAATATTAGTCACTTAAGAGAGCAGTCAATAGCTTATCCTGAAAGCCAAAACCCTGGTGCCATTTAAAGTGCTTAATGAGCCAGCACTGCTTGATAAATTTATTGATTTATGGAAGGAACACAAAGAGGGGAGGCTCAGAAAGGTAGGACTGATAGTTGTGACATGGAGTTGAACCTCTTCCTTGAGGAACACAGATTTCACTGGCACCAAGGGAGTGTTCAGTGGCAGCCTCTTCCTCCACTCTGGGATAGGGAGGGACCCTGTCTTTGAATGTGGAAGAAAACAGCAGCTGCAAAGGAGCCAGGGCCAGCTCTAAGAGGGCAGAAAGATGGGTAGTGATGGGGGTTGGTGGTACAGGCTCCCTGAAGGGCTTGGATGCTGAACCCCACAGGCATACTGCTGGATACACATGCTCATCCGTTTGCAGTGGCAGCTCACATACTCAGAATCTGCTTCGGGAGTGAGAAACTGGCAAAAGATGGGTGCTTAATCTTTAATTGCTTCTCCAATTGTGTAGACCCTTTACAGGGTGTGTAGCAGTGCTGGACAAAGTGCACACCTGCTGTTTGAACAGAGATCTGCAGTAGTGGAAGCAGAAATTGGAAATGGGGGGGGGGATGCCGACCCTGCCTTTCATCGCGGTCTGAAGTATGGAAGACTGAATGCCTCATCCAGTTCCGTAGCACAGGTGGCTGCAGGAATTCACTCCAAGGGAAGCAGCTATGAGGGAGCGACATCCTCCTAGATGCCTGCTGCCCAGAGCCCCACCTCTTACCTATTACGCCCTCCTGGTTGTAGCAGGTCTTGTGCATCTTCCCCATGAAGAGCTCCAGGCCGATAATGGCATAAATGATGATGACGAACAGCACAAGCAGGGCGATGTGCAGCAGAGGCACCATGGCCTTGATGATGGAGTTCAGGACCACCTGGAGACCTGCGCAACAGAACCATCAAGAGTAGCAGCAACAGAACCTCCGCCTCCTCTTTGGCACCAAGGCTGCCTTAGATACCGTGCTAACATGACCTCCTGCGATCTTCTTAACAACTCGAGTGGCAGTCACGAGTCCCATGTTTTAGATGAGGAAACAGGGGCTCAAGGTCACAGCCAATGAATGAAAGAGCAAGAATCTAAACTCAGGTTGGCTTGACTCCAAATCTGTCCTGGAGGTACATCCAAATAAAAGGATCGGCAGACGCTGCACTACCAAGGGGGAGAACATGTTGTTTTCATCTGTAACCATCAAGACTTTAAATAGCCCATCCCAGAGACAGTGTGTTTCCTCTTAGAGCTCAGCACAGTGAGAACTCACTGTGACTGCCCACAACCACAAGGGACTTAGTCATCTCCCAGGCTTCTCTGTGGTGGATTACTAGAGCCTGCTGTAAAACACACATCAGCCTGATGGGAAGGAATCCAGGAGGGTGTGATTTCCAGTGGAGAAACTACCTTACCAGCAGGATACATCCGAGAATCACTGTATCAGGGCCAACAGTGTATCTCTAAAGGTACATTTTTAGTAGTAAATAAGGGGACCACTGTGTAGTACACAGATCTATCAGAGGCCGTATCATCTGAATGCCATTCTCACAGGCACCATAGAAAGAGACTTCTTATTTAACAGCATAGAACTAAGTTCTGTAGATTAGATGACACTGGCACAAATACACAGAGTGCCCCCGAGCCACACTCATTAAAGGAGTTGAAACACTAAAGTTGGCCTTGTACTTATCACCAAAAAAACAAAACAAAAAAACCCCAAAACACTAAAAGTACCCAGATACCACCAGTAGGAAAAAGGGCAAATGGATAGCCCTGTGGGGAACACTTGTCTTATCAGGGTATCCCAGAGTTCGCTTTTTCTGCTATCCTAGGGGAGAGGGATGGGCATTTAGTGACTGCACCAAGGATGCTCACTACGAACACTACCAGAAAGGGACTGTGGCAGGATGACAAGGTGATAACAACAGGTTACTCTGGAGCCGGTGGCAGTTGCCTGAGCTTCAATGAACAGTAAGTTATACTAGGTGTCCATATTACAGGAGAGTATGGTGAAGACAGCTGCACAGAGCATCATCCTGAGGTTGCCTCTGGCATTCACAGGAGAGCAAAGCCCCTGCAAGTCCCACAAGGGGCTGGCATGGTTATAGCAGCTTCACCGCACTTGTCCCCCTTTCTATATCCTCTCAGACACTCAGGTCTTTCTGTTGTGTTCTTGGGCACTTACCTGTGACCACATAACCCTGGATAACCACAGCAGGCCGCATTTCACAAGCCCAAAGTAGTCACCAAAGCTCTGAGCTGTGGCCAGTGGCTTCCACAAGACTAATTAGAAGAACTCTCCCCAGCTATTAAGCCAAGCTGAGGAAAAGGAAAAAAATAAAAAATAAAGCTAGAATAATTTTACCTGTGAATTAATGTGAACACTTTGCAGGCTCCCATTAGAGCAAGATGTTTTCAGATCCAAACGATTCCATTAATTAGCAAGTTGTACACACATTAGCATTAAAGTCTGCCAAGCCAAGAGGGAAGTTTTGCAAGGCAACTTCCAGGAGAGGTTGATAGGTGGCAAGGAGCCTTCAAAGTGTTCCTCACAGAAGCTAGGGACCCCATCTTGGCTGCTAGGCCACCAGGGAGGGTATCAGGCCTCCAGTGCCAGCCTCAAGTGCCAAGAAACAGACAGGTGGCAGACACAGAGTGAGTTGTGATCTGGGTGGAAGCCAGGTAGGCCACACAAAAGGCCACTCTGTAATCTTTAGTGCCTCTTAGAAGGAAGACCAGGATTTCCTAGAGCTCTGCAAGGCATCCCCCCTCTTCATACAGTCCCTGTCCCGCCTATCCCCCTCTCTGGATTTCAGTCAAACAGCATTTCTCTTAGATTCAGAGATGTCTCAGTCACGTGCCTCAGAACATGTGGTACACAAGGATTAAAATGGAGCTAAAGCACCTATTGCTTACTGACATGATCATGATTGTCATAACACTGACCAAGACACACACACCTCATATGACTGTGGTGCTTCCTATGATAATAAAACACAGCACATGCAGTTACGGACAGTGTATAATATTTAAAGATGGTAGTTGATGGCTGTGTGACTGCTAAATGTATTTACTGTACCGTCAAAGTCTGATCTCTGGGAGTCACATGCTGGAAGGGGAGAGCTGATACTCACAAGCTGCTCTCTGACCTCCACATGTATGCTGTGGCACAAGAGCGCCTATTCTTTCCATCACCAAGGCCTGCCTGTGAAGAGAATCCCTTGGGCACTGGGTAAATGTTTACTGACAGCATGAGAAGTATGTCCTCTGAGTGGCTGGACCATAGGACCAGGCTCTACAGTAGTAGAGTCAGTTGTCCAGTTTGTGCATGGTGAACAGGTGACTTCAGGAACCATGAGGCACCATTAGGAAAACACTAACTGGAAGTCATAGCAGTCCACGTGTTTCACTCATCCGTCAACAATGTCAACAGAGCTACATGCTCTGTTCCGTGTGCCCCTGCTTCTTTGGTGGACATAACACCCACGTGAGCATCCGCCCAAGAGGGGCATTCCCCAGACTATCTTGCCAACCAGATTCCAAATCCTGCTAGTTTGATTTTTAACTAATAGATATTCATAAATTATTTTACTATATAAATAGTACATGATAACTACAGAGAAAACAGAAAATGCTTATGAAAGAGAAATTAGAAATCATAGTTGGGGGGAGGTACAATCACTTACTTTCTCAGCCTCACAGCGATATCATCACTGAGCATTTCATGTACCTTTGGGGGACTTGAGTCTATGACTTCCCCCCATTACACTATCAGATGTTTAGTTTAGTTACCCAGCCTTCAGCTCTCATGTCTTCCCTGTCATCATTCAGTAGTTTAGCTTGTTCTTATCAAAGGACACACTGAATCATGTCTCTTTTGAAAGTGCACCATCGATCCCTGTCATTTAGAGAGGCAAGCTCACCTCTTCCTTTGCTGTTTTGGCTCCTACGGTTCCTCGTTTCTCCTTACTCTCCAGCAGCATGCCCAGCCATCTGGACGTCCCTGGCTTCATGCCGCCCTATGTCAGTGTACTCTGCTCCCTGCCTGCCCCATCCAGATCTCCTTGAGTGTCATCTTGTTTTCTCATCTTTGTATTCAGGCATGCAGCAGAACTCCTAGAGTGAAATAGCTCTAAGCACAGGGTGTTTTCAGAAAGCTAAGGCACAGCAACCAGGGGGTCTGCACGCACACTAGCAAGCAAAACAATAACTCAGAAAACTTATCAGGAGATAAAATGCAAGAATGGGACAATGACAAAGGCGACAAGGCTTGTTGATGTCAGCGATCTTCCCACGACTTAAGTTGCTGTTTTGAGGATGGTGGGGATAACTCTTTTGGTATGACCACAGGATGGAAGGAGGACTAACTAGGAAGTATCCAGGAACAAACAGAATCTGTCCAAGGACACACCTGTGTGCAGGTGGCATGGGGTACCTGAAAAGGTAGTGTTTCACGATACTCAGGGTAACTTACTGACTGACTAAATGAGCTCTTGAGAAAGGGCTTGGGGGGTTGCAACGACTGGGTGAAAGATAGATTCCTCTGGCACATCAAAGCCCCGTAACCTCATAAATCACGTCCTGAGAGCACCACAGCTGCGGTGCAGCTGCCTTTATTCTACCTGAATTATCCTGTTTTCTTCTGGTCACACCTCTGAGAACTAGACGCTATAAGCCATAGCTGAAAGTGGTGCACAGAGAGGAAATGACCCGACTTCAGGGCACAGCTAGCAGATGGTGGCACTGGGAGCAAAAGCAAAGTCTGATTCAGTTTGTCTGGAGTGGGACGTGAGTTTGCATTTCTAACCAAGTTCCAACAAATACTAATGCCACTTTCTGGCCCAGCAAGGCAAGGCCCCATACTACCTAGTCAGCCAGGAGCCATGGCAACCGCATCCAAAGCCTTCCTGAGAGCTCTGAAGCAGTTCAAATACTGTGGTAGGTGTGAGTTGATTCTAGTAATATCACATCTTCATGTGATTTGTAATTAGTAAAACATGAACTGTCCATGCTAGGTACTGAGAAACACTGCCAGTCTGACTACGCTACACACTTATTTATTATGTTTTTTGTTTACTTAGTTTTAGACATATGAGCACTGCAGAGGATGACATATTCCTGTACCTTTCACCCCAGGAGCATAAGCGATGGGCGTTGCAGGCCACTACTTCTGGCAGCAGTAAGAGCCATTCAGCAGTTATGGGAGAGACCAATGACTGCATCCAATACTACAGTATGAAAGGCATGAGCTTAGCCCTTTTTTCACCGTGGCCTATCTGTTATCACCCTTGCCTGGACAACATTGTCAGGGCTGCTTCCCATCTCCACCAGCCAGGCTAGGCCTAGGCCTCCACCACCCTTCCCTTGCCTCCTATTTGTCCATGATTATATCTTCTTTTAAAAAACACTTCTTGTCCTGTCTCTACAAATGTAGTTTTAGCTCTTTTTACCTGGATAATTAATTCTTCTCCTTTACTCCCTCCTTCCGGGATCCTTTTGAGTGTTCACTATGTCAGAAGCACAAAGATGCAGACCTGGCCACAAGCAGTTTCCGGCTAGGTGGGGAGACGGTTATGTGACCAGGTGTTTGCAAAGCCAGCTAACTGTAGTCCCAAGAAGTATAGCAGAGTGGAAGTGATGCAGATACTCACATATGAAATTCTCAAATTAAAAAAACAAAACAAAACACCCTGTAGCCAAAGACTTACCTATTACTGTAGAAGCTTCCTAAAACATATACATGCATACAAAAGTTTAAATGGAATTAACCTTTGACAGGGCACAATACCACAACTAGACACCATATGCTAACAAATAAAAACCCCAGTACCTGGGAATGAGTTTTATCTTTTTTAACTATTTGTCAATGGAGTCCCATAGACCCCAAATCATTA